CAGGTTTCTCCCTTTCCCAGGGCCTTCCTAAACAGACACATTCTCATTGACAGTATTTGCTCCCCCTCTGCCTCTGAAAGATTCTGCATACTGGCTTAAGGGAGATAATAAGCTCAGCCCTCAATCCATCAGTTGTCATCTGATGCTAACACTCCAGTGTTGCTTAGAGTCTCCTTCACCCTCATTCTCACCAGAACATTGGTCTAACTATCCCTTTTAGTTATAATCAAAGCCAGCTTCTCTAAACAAATAAAATTCTCAAATGCTTTGGGTCCGTGTTGACCTGGCACAGCAATTACAGTGCTTTCTGACATTAGGCCTGGAAATACACAGAATAGGGCTATCCTGGTAATGTCCAGCATGTATATTCTTGGAGAGGATATAAGGAAAACAGACAGCTGGAGGGATGAACTCAGCACTATGTAAAGGATGAAAAGCAAAAGCTTATTAAAGCCAGGAAGAATGTTACTGGTAAATGCCTTGATGTTTGGACAAGCCAGCTCAAAGCTGCTGGCAGGCAGCGCAGGAACAGAGCGTCCTGGGCTGAGATCTTGGAGGGGATGTGGATCCAGCTTGCATGCCCAGTGCAGCTATGATCCAAGTCCCTTTGAGGGCGAAATGTTCTGGTTTGAGTCCACTTGTTAGCCCACAACTACATGCTTCTACATCAGCAGTTTAGCAGGAAAATAAACAATATCACCTTTCACAGTGTTAGTGACTTGAGCTCAGGAAAGTATTTCTCTCCAGCTGCTTTAAAGGCAACAAGCCCTGGCTGCCTCCTTTGCCACAGCACGAGCACCATCACCCTACCAGACTAAGGACCCAACAAGAACCAGAGCAAACTGCTCACCTTGAGTTTGCTGAACGTGCCAACAGTGTGGTCCCAGGCTGGCACCAAGTGATGCAGGACACTGTCCAGGAGCTTGATGAACCTAAATCCCAAAGAAGAAGGTATTGAAACAAGAAGTGATGGGGATCTGTACAAGTCTGTTCCAGACCATAGAGCCCTGAACACAAGCAGAAAAATAACTGATCCAAACCAAACCCAGCATAGTTTTTTACATCATGGAGCTTTTGGTAATAAATTCCCACTCCCTGGGCACTGCATGGATTTTGCATTCCTTACAAGTGACTCTGCATGTACCTGCCCCTGATGCTGCTATGTTGTGCTAGTGACACACAAGACACTAAACTTGAGCTACAGGACTCCTCAGAAAGTATAAGGGAGCCACCCCAGAGAGCCCACTTTGCTCCCAAATGAATGCTGTTTTCTCCAGTGTCCAGGACATCTGTCTCGAGAGGAGTATCATAGTTTTACAGCTTCCAGCCATGTACATGTTGGAGATGGCATCAATCCCTGCAGGCAATGGCACCTATCTGCTCCTCTCCACACAGTACCTTTGAATGAGCACGGCGCGTCGGTACAGCAGGTCAGGGTCAGTCCCTTCTAGGCGAGGGTAACGCACCAAATTGGGCAACTGGAACATGTCAGCACTGAGCCCCAGGTCCCTCTGTCGAGAGGATTTGATTTTGATGCCTCGGATACGAACATCAATCCCATCATCTGCCAAGGAAGACCATGGATGATATGCAAAGATCACAAGAAAGCAAGCCTTAAATATAGTGTAGGAGGTCTATAAGCAAAAACAGCAGGAAAGTACCAGCTCCACCAGCTCTGGTGCTGGGCACTGAGAGCTTCAAATACCTCTGTGAAGAAGAAGCAGGGCATTTACAGGAGAAAAATAATTAAATAATTGAAGGCAGAGAAAGATAGGATGAAAGCTGAGAACTTGCAAAACTTCAGATCTCCAAGTAGTTTCCCATGGTTCTTTTGAATCTCATCTAAAACAGCCCACAGGGAGAAGAAGTACAAGTCACAGAACAAACTCTTAATGTACAGTATTTTACTCATGCATTATGGATGTGGCCACAACAGCCAGCCCTACCTCTGCACTCCACAATCCGGATCTCGATGACAGGCAGGTGTGTTGTCATATCCTCAAGGATGCACACATCCCCAATATAACTCCTGCAAACACAGAACAGATGAGGATTAAAGGGATGTTACCTCACTTATCCCACCGAAATCCACTAGGACACTTGTAAGGGAAGACAGTTTGAAATGGGAGCCTATGGCAAGATCTCAATTCTTGCTTACAATTACAGCTGAATGCCTGAACCTGCTGGTGACTCAGGTCCAGGTACCATGATTCTGATGTGTCCCACAATCGGATGAGGAGAGACCTGATGACTGTACCATGCTATTGTAGGCAGAGTGAACCCAAATCCCAGAGAGCCTGGCTTGTACTGCATGACTTTTTAAGGCCAGTGTTCAGCAGCTTGGGCCCCTGCAAGAGCCATGACACCTTGTGCACCTCCACCCACTCACTCATCAATGCCGACATCGTTCAGTTTCTTCAGATTGTCCCCCTCGCCCCCATACACAGCAACCCGCTTGGGCATGAAGTTCTCATCAGTGGTATCCACTGTCAGCAGCAGCTTCCTGCAAAAGGAAGCAGGACATTAAGGAGAAGGCAATTGCATCTGAACATCCATCTCATCACTTGGTCACGTTGTTACCAAGCTGGGATTCTCAGGTACCTGTAACAAATCTAAAACCACTTCAAGCTCAGAGCCAGTGAAAGGACTGAGGGGCAGGGAGCGCAGGGCAAATTTGGGCCATGACGCTCAGGCAGAGGGAGTGGCAAAGCTTGCCCCAGTCACTAGCCAGCACGTAGGGCAGACAGAGATGACTCACTTGACAATGGTGCCTTTTTTCATGTTGAGACGCACCCAGTGCTGGCCCTGGGACCCATCACTCTCCCAGTATGTGTCGGCATGGCTGTCGGTCAGGCATGACACATTGAAGTCCTCCTGGAAGAGGGCAAATGAATGGAAGTAAAATCAGATGAGTGTAGGATTAACTTCTCTTTAGTGGTTACTTTCATCATGAATCTTCGTGTCAGAGGGTATCACATTGGCATGTTCTCTTTGCTGTGGGTAGACACCAGGAGTGCAGAGCACACAGGACACTGGGGTTGACCCTCCAAGGTGCTCTGAGATCACACACAGAGCACAGAGTATCAAACCCCCCACAAACATCAGCTTTGCAGCTAATATTAGCACTGGCTTATCAAACCACCATCCCTCCAGGGGCCACATCATACAACATGCTGCATGATACTCCCCAGGTTTTTCTCCCACATCCTCAAGCAGAGCGCAGTCCAGGCCAAAGCAGCACAGCAAGCACTACCCATGCTCCCCAGCCCCATGGCACAGTGGGGCTGATGTAGCCTTGTCCCTTTAACCCACCGTGTAGGATGAGACATCGATGCTGTCCACGTACTGCTTAACACTGCCCAAGTTCTCATCCTCCTTCCCAATGTGGTCATACAGGAAATGCACCAGGTCCTCATCACATTCGTAAGTCCATGTTGGGGGCACAAACCTAGCAGGGAAAAGTGATTACTGGGTCTGGAGAGCCAGAGGCAGCCAGGCTAATGGGTCAAAAAAGGAAGGTTCACATCCTGTTTGCCTTGCTCGATTTCCTGCTTTTTGCAGGCATATCTAGGACAAGACTGTGCTGTGCAGAGCTGCCTGTCTTCCCCCCTCTCCCCCAGGTCTGCAGGAGATGGCTGTCTGGGCAGTCACAAGAGACCAGAGCTTGTCCCCCACCATAGCAAAAGCCAGTAAACAGCTCATACCGAAGCTTCTCTACTGCAGCCTCATCCTGCTCCATGGCCCTGGGCTTTGCTCCGAGGCGCAGGGAATATGTCAGATCCACCACCTGCTCCCATCTGAAACACAGAGAAGTGGAGTGGGAACACCCCAGGAGGAACAAGAAGTTGGTGATGGAGGAGTAGTTGTAAGGGGAAGATTTGGGTTTAAAGTCCACCGTGCACCATCCTTCATCACCTCCAGCATCATCTGTTGCCCTTTCCTTTCCAACCATGTCTACTCCTTCCACACCCCGCTGGGCAAGCGACAAGCACAGTGCCCGAGTCAAACCCAATTCACTCCACATCCGGCATCCCTCTTGCCTCACTTCCATGAGACCTGTCCAAGCAGGCCGGGGGTTCCCTAGCCCAAGGCAGGAGGGGCCGTGGGGAAGCATCCCGAGCGCGCACCGAGGTGAGCACCTCCGCGCTCCCGGGGACCCAGCGGGACACCGCGGCGGCCCCGCACCTGATGACGGGCTTGTAGTCCACCCCGAACAGCTGCTGCTGCCGCTGGATCCGCTCCGTGGACTCCACGGGCACCAGACGGTCCCCGCCATCGGCATGCTTGCACACCAGCACCCATCCCTCCTCCAGATCGCAGCCGCTCCGGTACTCCTCCAGCTGCTCCTGTGGGGACAGCCGGCGGTCAGGCGCGGCCGGGCCGGGCCCTTCGCGGGCCGCCGCACCCGCGTTACCTTGCTGAGCTTGACCCAGAGCCCGGCGCTGTTGCAGTACTCCTCGCCGGTGGCGCGCAGGCAGCCGCCCTTCCGCACCTCGATGGTGGCCCGCGCCGCCCGCTTGCCGCCCCGCGCCGGCCCCGGGCTGTCCCACACGCTGAGCAGGCTGCGGGCGGCGGCGGCCGCGGCGGCCGCGGGGTCCTTGCAGATCTTGTACTGCACCTCCCGCGGCACGTAGCAGAGCGCGGCGGGCAGCGCCCGGGCGCGGCGGAAGCACTCGCTGCACTGCAGCAGGAACCGCAGCCGGCCCAGCACCTGGTGCGGCGCTTCCCCGCCCGCCCTCATCGCGCTCCGGACACCGGCTCCGCGCCTCTCCGGTTTACGGCGAACCCCGCCCGCCGACAGGCAAGATGGCGGCGCCCGGCGGGGCGGACGTAGAGCAAGATGGCGGCGCCCGTGCCACGTACAGCGGAGCAAGGAGCGGGGCAAGATGGCAGCGTACGGAGGGACGGGAAGCCGGGCGGTGGGCGGGGAAAGATGGCGGCGGGAGAGAGGCGGGACTACGTCGAGATGGCGGCGCCGACGGGGCGGGATGGGGGCGGGACGGGGCGAACCGCGCCGCGTCGGGAGGCAACGGAGAGGTCGGGGAGCAGCTCAGGAGCATGGAGGGTGGCGAACGGCTCCTGTGAGTAATGGGACCGGACAGGCCTGCCTTTCTTCCTAGTGTGGTAACGGGGCCGTGTTTCGGCGCCTGCACGGGGGATGCTGGTGTGCCTCTGGGAACGGCGGTCTGGCACTGTGGGAGCAGTGGGGATAGCGCTTTGGCGCTGAGATCCTGTATTGGGGACACTGGTGTGGCTCTGGGAACACCGCCGAGGCACTGGAGTGGCTCTGGGAACACCGCTGAGGCACTGGTGTGGCTCTGGGAACACCGCCGAGGCACTGGTGTGGCCCTGGGATTGTGGTGCTGGCACAAGAGTCCGGGAGTGGGTCCCTGGAGGAGCTCCGGGCGGGCAGGCAGCGGGGTGATCCCGCACTGGGAGGGATCAGCAGGGCCGCTGGTGTGCTGGTTGAGTCCCTGGTTCCACATGGAGGTTTTCGGGACTTTGTTTCCATAGGCCCCGCGGTTTCCGCGGTCCCCCTCGCCGGTGCAGGCCGGACCCCAGCAGCCCCACAGCGGAGGCTGGGGACGCGTGGCACAGACCGGGGGCAGTGCAGGACTGCCCGCCCCGCTCGCCCCACATCTCTCCGGGCGGGAGCAGCTGCTGGCCCCGATAACTTAATCTCTGGGCCCTGGGCAGCGCACCGCCTCTCTCCCGACGGCCCCCAGCAGGAAGAAGTCCTGGGCTGTGGTGGGGAGAATTTATCACATTTGTCACAGCTGGGCGCAAGCCTCCTCTGCGGTCAGGGAGTGGGGACGAGCCGCTTACTCTGTCACCCTCTGCCCCAGTCGTGGGGGCCTGGCAGGGCACCCAGACCCCTCGTGGGTGACACCCTGTACCTGCTCTGTGCTCCGCAGCCCCAAAGGCTTCCCCAGGCTGAAGAACGACACGTTCCTGCGAGCGGCGCGCGGGGAGGAGACGGAGCACACCCCGGTGTGGTGCATGCGGCAGGCCGGCCGCTACCTGCCAGGTGAGTGGTGGAGGCGTGCGGGGGGTAGTCAGGGGACCTCAGCAAACACCCAGTAACCTTTGGGTGGTTCCTTGTAGAGTTTCGGGAGACACGGGCATCACAGGATTTCTTTGCTACTTGCCGGAGCCCCAAATTGTGCTGTGAGCTGACTCTGCAGGTGAGCATCACTCAGGGGTCTGTGTGTCCCCCTCTGTCTGCCCAGATGGGGATGGGGAGAAACCTTGATTCTGACCATCCTGGATGGCCTCAGTAAATTGTGCAGCCCTTGGGGACTCCACTGCCACGTGTGCTTGACCAGGTCCTCCATGGGAAGGCAGTTGCAACCCCTCACTAATGTGGCCTCTTCCTCTGTGCAGCCACTGAGACGATTCCCCCTGGATGCTGCCATCATCTTCTCTGACATCTTGGTGGTGCCCCAGGTAAGAGCCATGGCCAATGCCACAGGGAACAGCAGCTGGTAACAAGGCAGAATTCAGGGCTGCTCCATTCCTGCTTCTCCATTCTCCCCTGTCCCCAGGCGCTGGGCATGGAGGTTGTCATGGTCCCTGGCAAAGGACCGACGTTCACAGAGCCCCTGAAGGAGGTGGAGGATCTGCTGAAACTGCGACAGAAGGTGGATGTCACCTCAGAGTTAGGTTATGTCTTCCAGGCCATCACACTGACACGACACAGCCTGGAGGGCAAGGTGCCCCTCATCGGCTTCTCGGGGGCACCGGTAAGTGGCGTGGCTCTTCTGTGTGGGTTTCCCTGATGGGCTTCTCTGCTCTCTTGGGGTGAGACCAGCTATGGCACCCCCAGCTGTGGGTGCTAAATGGGTGCATAACAGGGGGCATTCAGTGCAGGAGCAGCTGTGCCCCAGGTCTGGGGTGCTCACAGGTCTTACCTTCAGCACTGTGAGTGGGACTTTGTGTCTTCTTTCATCTCCGTCACTCTTTTCACTCCTGCCCACAGTGGACGCTCATGTCCTACATGATTGAAGGTGGTGGCTCCACTACAATGGCCAAGGCCAAGAGCTGGCTCTACCGTCACCCTGAAGCAAGCCACCGTCTGCTACGCCTGCTGGCTGACGTTATCATTGACTACCTGGTGGGGCAGGTGGCTGCTGGAGCGCAGGTGTGTCCTGGGGCAATGGGGACAGGGCTGAGAAGGAAGGCAGAAACTGGGGATAGGGAGCAGAGAGGATCCAGCATCTGGAAGGAGGAGGAGGGACTGAGTTGCTGCTCTCCCAGTCCCATGGGAAAGTGGTTGAGTCACCATCCCTGGAAGCATTTGATAGACAAGTAGATGTGGCACCTGGGGACATGCTTTACTGGTGGATTTGGCAGTGTTTGCTTGTTAGACTCAATAATCTTAAAGGTCTTTTCCAGCCTAAAGGATTCTCTGTCCCTGGCAGGCGCTCCAGCTGTTTGAGTCCCATGCAGGGCATCTGGGCCCAGAGCTGTTTCAGGACTTTGCCCTGCCTTACATCCAGGACATTGCCCAGGCTGTCAAGAGCAAGCTGAAGGAGGAGGCACTGCCCCTGGTGCCCATGGTGAGTCGGGGCTGCCTGGATTGACCCTGACATCTGGGTGCTGCTGGAGAGGGGTGCATCCCCTGGTACCTGCTTCCCTCAGTCCAGCCTGTGGAGAGGGATCTGAGCCACAGCAGTTGCTGCCCATCTCCTCCCTCCCCAGATCATCTTTGCCAAGGATGCACACTACGCCCTACGCGACCTGGCCCACGCTGGTTACGAGGTCGTTGGTCTCGACTGGACCATCCGGCCCCAAGAAGCTCGGTAAGAGTCTGACTCAGGGCTCAGGTGTCTGGGCAGGATCCCAGACCAGGTACTCTGACCTCCTCTTCTGCCCTGAGGCATCCCAGGCCTGGACATTGCTGCTCCAAAGGTGGGGATAGTTGGGCCACCATGGCACAGCTTCTAAAGGCTGCGCTGAGGGCTCCTGGGGCTCCTGTGGTGGGGGCTGCAGGCACCTGGCTGCTCTCAGTCTACCACATGCAGCAACTCACCTGCTTCCTTCCTGCTGCAGTGCACAGATAGGAAAAGATGTCACCCTGCAAGGGAACCTGGATCCGTGTGCTCTCTATGCACCCAAGGTGAGCCATGGCAGTAGCTGTGAGAGCCAGCAACTAGGGCTAGTTCTAGCCTGTGTTAAAGGCCTTCTACCTGCAGCACTGGCTCATGTCCCAACACCCCCTCAGGCTAGCTGAGGGGGATTGGTGAGGGTGAAATACTCTGAGTCGATTGGTCTGACACGTTTCCTACCATACCTACAGGAGAAGATTGGCGAGCTGGTGAAGAAGATGCTGGAGAGTTTTGGGACCCAACGCTATATTGCCAACCTGGGCCACGGCCTCTACCCTGACATGAACCCTGAACATGTGGGTGCTTTTGTGGAAGCTGTGCATGCTCATTCCCGTCATATCAACAAGCACAGCTGAGCCTGGGGCCCTGGGCACGGGACTCTGGTTGGGGCAGAGTCACTGTGTTGTCACAGGGCTCACTCGAGGCTGGGCTGCAGCATTAAACCAGGACCTTCTCTGCAGCAGCCGTGTGGCTCTGGCTGGGGCGATGGGGAACTGTACACCCCGAGAGGGGAAGTCATGGCAGGCTGCTAGAGGAGCATGTGTGGTCAGGGGGAGCCCCCGAGCTCCATCCAGCAGGTCAAAATGGGGAAACAGGGATATAGTGGAGGATGCCTCTCCCTGCCAGGCTGCCAGTGCCCATGCTTACAACAGAGGATGTGAGCCCAGGACACAACAGCCATCTCCTGAGGATGGGTGTGCACAGCCCTGCTAGGGAAGGTGGGCTGCCTGAGGCTGGCAGGGTCACAGCCTGGGCGCTTGGGGCTCACAGCCCACCACTGGCAGAGACTCAGCATCAGCTGTCCCACAGTCCTGCTCAGGTTGAAATGGGCAATGTGTCCTCAACCCAGGGTAGTCTGAAGGGGCTGTGAGAGCCAGCAGAACTCACCTGGGACACAGCTGGCAAAATGGCAGGAGAAGCTCTGACACAGCACCACCAGCACCCTGCCACACTGGCTGGGATGGCAACAAAGGCACCACAGCCCTCCTCCTCCTCCAGTTCCCAAAGCTGGGAACTTCCCTTCTCCAGATCCCAAAGGTGATCCAGTTCCCAGGATCACCCCCCTGGTCCTAGAGTGTTCCCCCATGCACACCTCCCCATCTCCTCTGATCCTCAGTGCCAAGCTTGCCTGGGGCTCAGCAAACCCTGCAAAAAGCAGCCCAGGAACCCTGAGTTACAACTCCTTGCCACCCCATTCCACACTGCAGCACACTCACTGTGGTTCAGGCTGGCGGCAGGACAAGTCAAGACACGGAGAAATGCTGGTCTAGCTGGCATGGGTAGGGTTGTGTCTCCGGTACGGGCAAGGACCTGCTAACATTGTAGATGGCACGGAGCTGCACCCAGAAGCAACTGGGGTGCCTTGTCCCTGCTCTGTTCCCCTCTTCAGAGCACAGGAGCTGGCTACCACAGGGGGCTGAGAGACTGCTCGGCACAAATGTGGTGACACCCACTGACTTCAGAGAAAGACAGGAGAGACACAGGCAGGAACGTTCATCCCTTTTATTATTAAACATCAGATGAAGAGGTCGCACACACACATACACGCACGCACGCAAAAAAAAAAGGGAAGGAAAAAAAGAGAGACTGGTTGAAGAACGCTATTTCGGTGGCGACACAGACCGAGTACAATTGGGTTCCTGGCCAGAGCGCGGACACAAGTCACTTGCCAAAAAATTAAACCAGACAGCAGATAACTAGCGCACATCCTCTAACTACAAGTCATCATCCAGACTGGCCTTGGCCCCCCAGCCCTCCCAACCTGCTGGCAAAGAAATGAACCTAAACTGAAGAGCCACTAGCCCGGAGCTGGAGTGTGCCCCCAGCACCAGGTGAGCTGGGAAGGGCCGAGCGCCGGCTGCACCACGGAGCTGGGAATGGTGCAGGAAGGTGACGCGGCTGCCCCTCCCTCCCCCGGAGCCGGCAGCCCTGGTGCCCGCCCAGGCACTCACACCCTGCACCTGCCCTGCGATGGGCTGAGTCCTCCATCGCCAGCATCTGCGTGTGTCCGAGTGAGCATCGCCCCGAGTTCCTTCTTTTGCTGGGCTGCTGCTCCTCCGTCCGTCTGTCCGTCTGTCCCAGGGCTGTGAGTCGAGTAGATGTTCGCCTCCCCCCCACACCCTTCTTGCTGCTGACGATGCCATGGGAACCTGAGAAATGTTCGTGTGCCTCCTCCTCTTTTTGTCTGTGGTTTTGTGTGGGTTTTTTAAATAATAGTTTTAATAATAATAACAATAATAATAATAGCAATAATAAAAATAATCGCCCCAGCCCACAACAATTTCAAGTATCCCCCAAATAAAAGACAGAATTATAAATAATTATAACTTTACAATTTAATAATTGACACATATACTATAGTATTTACAGTATCATAAATGCTTTTTTTTTGTGTTACTTTTAGTAAGCAATCCCTGAGAACAGTTACTTTTACTTGTTTTTATTGAAGTATCTTCACAAATAGAGGAGTTTGCATGTCTCGGGCGGGCGGGAGAAGCGCTCTGCAAAGCCATCGCTTTTGGTGACGCATGAGGTTCTAGTGTCGCAGGTTTCTTTGCTTGCTTTTTTTTCTTTTTTTTTTTTTTTGTTTTGTTTTGTTTTGTTTCATTAAATTCCCCACATAATTTTAAAGATTTTTCACTTTGCAACCTTCGTATCCCTCCAGCGACCACGTCCTTCAGGAAAGAGGTATTAGATTTCCAGGTTAGCTTTTGGTATTGGCAAGGGAGGGCAGGGGGCTGAGTAAACCATCCTTTTTCCCCGTGGTTGCCTTTTGGTTTGTGCCCAAGGAATCTCTGGATCCTCTCAGTGTGTGAAATGGTTAAATCCAAGAAAGAGTAACACTAAAAGAAAAAAAAAAAAAAAAAAAAAAGAAAACAAACAAACAAAAAAAAGAAATAGAAGACCAGACCAGAGCAGCCTCTGCCGATGGGGGGAAGCTGATCTCCACTTTCCTTCCTTCTTCTCTCCCGAGTCCCCGTGCTGCGGCCAGACCCTGCCAGTGAGCATGGCAGGAGCCGGGGCTCACCCAAACCGTTCTCGCACCAGCAGCATCAGTTTTTTCTTGCCTTTGTAGATTTGTTTAAGATTGTCAATGAATTGGGCAAACTGTATGTGCCCGTCCTGTGCCAGGAGGAAGGTCTCCCTGGCCTTGCTGAGGAACTCGATGAACTCCCCATAGTGCCGTGGGCTGATGTGGGTGAGCCGGGAGTGGGTGGTGTTGATGTAGGCGCTTATCGTCGCGTCCAGCAGCTGCCGCAGGGGGGCTTTGTCAGTGGACATCAGCTTCCCCGAGTTCCTGCGCCCAGGGATGCCGGCCAGCCCTGGCGCTGTCATGGTGCAGCGGCGAAGGATGTCCGAGAGCACTGTGGCACAGTGCACGCTCTTCACCACCAGCGGGATGATGGCTGCCAGCTCATTTTTGCCCAGAGAGTGGCTCAAGGCGCAGGCCCAGAGCACATCATTGATGGCTGGGTGCGTGTCCTGGTTGTAGGCCAGGTTGAGATGTGTCATGGCCAGTGAGGCCAGTTTGAAGGCTCGGAGTGGGTAGCCCCGGTGCTCCATGTAGCGGGCGATGGTGAAGAGCTGGGTGTAGGTCATGCCAGTGGAGGCGGCATCAATGACGATCTGGTAGGCGGTCTCGAAGGCGATGTGGTCCTTCTCGCAGAGGGTCAGGGCAGACAGGGCACAGTTCTGGGGGTCCTTCATGGCGCACTGCAGGGCCAGGGTGCGGGCACAGCTGGCTAGCTCTTCCCGCTGTGGGTAGTCCAGGCTCAGGCGGAGGATGGTGTTGTGGGACATCACTGTGGCCGCCACAATGCTGGTGGCTTCCGTGGGAGTGAACAGTGAGTACCAGCTCTGCAGGATGCTCACCAGGGCCCTCACTCCTGCAAGAAAACACTGTGGTCACAGCATATCCATGGGGCTCCTCTGAAACCCGGAGACAGGGCAAAAACAGCCCACAGCAGTGCTGAGCTGCTGCCTCTGCCCCAAGAGGGACAAGGCAGAGGGGGACAGGCAGAGGCAAGAGACCACCACTGGCCTGGGCCAGGTACAGGGCACCCATCCAAGTCTCAAAACCGGCCACTGCTGCAGTCCCAACCCTGCCAACTGGTGCTCTGAGGTAAATTCAGTATAGGAGACTCAGGAGAAGTCAGATGCTCAGGGGTAGACATGACCCAATGATCTCCATGCCCAACCCTGCTCCCACTGCATGCAGGCCAGATCCCCCAGTGCATATGAACTCACCCACTTCGGTAGCGCACGTCACCAGCCACCTCACCATCTCCCGCCGCCGCCAGTTGAGCGTGGACAGGGTCATGCGCATCACCTGCAAGGCAAACTTGGGGTGACTGGCTGCCCTGCAGGGCTCTAGTGAGGCCACCCAACAGAGCAGTGGTCCCCGAAAATCCCTCTGGTTCAACTGGCTACCAACTACCTGGCACTACCTCACCTCCACCCAAACCACAGTGAGCACAGGGGCTTCCCAGGGCTTGCTCAGGACCATGCAGGGATCAACTAACTCCATCCACAGGGGACACCTTGCTTGGTGGAAGACCATAAGCAGCACAGCTGCCACAGCAAGAGGGACAGAAGGGCCACCAGCATCCCCAGCATCATCACCTGCAGCCCCAGTTCCAGCGCCACATTGAGCAGTGTCGTGTCAGAGTTGCTGTCAGCTGGCGTAGCAATCTTGAATGCATCCTGAGCCAGCTTGAAGATCAAGGAGGAGGAGTGGATGTTTTTCTGGATGGCCTCCAGCACCGTGCGTAGGCGCAGCATGTCCCCTGAGAGCAAGCAAGAATGGTCAGTTGGCTCAGGGGTGCCCTGGAGCCCCATCTCTTGCCAGCACCACGAGCCGAACAGTCCCTTCACCACAGCCAGCCCCTCTGGACACACACACAGAGGGACACAGTGATGCTGGATCAGGCCCTGCAGTCCAACAGTCTAAAATGGAGCACCCTCCCCAGGAAGAGACACATCCTACAGCAAGTGTCCTCACTCAAGTTCATCCTCTCACAGAGAAGACAAACAAACCTGAGTGATCCCAGACATGTCCTGTCTTTAGCAGACATCTCCAGACACCTGGATGTTCCACCCTGGCCTCAAGTTTGACAGCTGTACAGCAGCTTCTTCCCAGAAAAGGAGGGGCTTGGGGAGATGCCTAGTACTGAATGGCTGCAGAAACATCAGACTTCATCCAGTAACATTAAGAAGAGGAAAAGCTGTTTAATGCACACACACTGTCTTACCCAGCAAGTTCCCTCGGCAAGGCTGGGCTGGGGTTACCCAGACTTGCTGCACCTTGGCTCTGAATGTCCCAGGTCAGGCACACAGCACTCACAATTGAGACAGGCTGAGCTATCCCCAAAGAAGGGGGTTTGTGGCACAACACCCAGCAGTGCTGCAGGTCTCCTACTACAGGAGGTTGTGAGTGCTAGGATATATGATAGCACCAGG